TCAACTATTAAGCAGCCACACATCTTTTCATAAAACTGGAGTCCAAGATGTAGACTTGGCATCTTTAAGGATACCAGGCCATCCACAAAGCAGTGGATGAATGTTGACTAAGAGCAGCTGAGAATCAGTCCCACATTTTAGAGCATTGGTTATCTTTCATAAGATAAGCCATGCTCCAAATACAATTCAGATTAAGTTGTAAAGGATAATGTTTTGCCCTATTTTGTTAGAATGTTGACAGACTTTTCCAAAACAAGTACGATTTTCTCGCTTCTTCTTTTTCAGTAATACTTACTATAGGACTCTAGATCTATTCTTGATCAGTGAGAAATGTTTACAGTAAAAAACATTAGGATGATACACAAATATATATGTATATGTATATATATATATTTGTATATATAACTTAAAGTCTCCTAATTAAAAATTAATACCATAGCATCACACAGTAAGGCTGTGCCAGTGTCACTATTCAGAGATCATTACTTCAGCATTTTAAGTGCATTTACAAGATGATGACAAAAGAGCTTTTATCTAAAAATGCTATGATGTCACAGATTTATTCTCCTTCTATTTTGCTTTAGAATAATGGGGACAATGTTGTCTCAAATTAAATAAAGGATCAACAGCAAAGATTGTAACTCAATCTTCCTCCCCCTCAATTTTAATTGTTTTGTTTTTCTTTTCAACCACTGCTAGCTGGGGAAAAAAATAAAAAAGTGTATACCAATGGCAGATTCAACCTGAAATGGCAGATGGGGAAATGGTGCTCCAATAAATTAGCATGTACACAAGCTTCTGGTTTTAAGAAGATCTGACTGAGTCATATAGGTGACAATTTACTTAAATACCCTTGAGATTCTCTTTACATCTCCAATTAAGTGAAATACATTATTTTCAGGCCCATGCCCATCACTTCTGACCCAGGCTGCAGTGCTGGAAGGAAATCTAAGTAAACAGGAAGACTGTTGATCTCTGCTGCAGCAGAAGAAATGGAAAGCCATCAAGGTAAAGAGGAAATAGCTCTCACTTTTTTTAAAGAACATTTTATGACTGAAAAGTCTTTATGAACTACTGTATGGCCTTAATGCTGAGTTGAGATTAAACAAGCACACAAGCCTGATTCTCTGCAATGATCAAAGGTTTGTTGAACACTTCTAAGGGAGAGATAAAAGCTGACGGTTTGATTTGAACCTATTTCTGAATTGTTCTAAACCTTTCAAATCAGTTTTAGTATACACTGTCTCTGAAATTTTGTAAGAAAATGAGGATGAACAAGGGAAGATATTCTGTAATGAAGCTCAAAGGTGATGACACTTGGAATTCCTCATGCACAGCCTTCCCAAAAGTTTGCAGGGGCACATGTCTAGTGTTGTACTCCAGGAGAGCTATAAAGGAAGAGTAGGTTAGGTATATAATTCACATCTTGTCCTCTTTTTTTCAGCAGATACTTCCTTTTTCACTGCTGCTCACAAATTCTGCAGTGGGAGTACATTGTGAGCATCCAAATATGGTCCTGTGTCCAGCAGAAGCACATGTTGGGCTGGAAACAGATCTGTGCTTCATCAGAGTTCATGGGCAGCAGTGGGGTTTGGCCTTCCAGGCAGAAGATCTTCAGAAATGGAAAAGAAGACCTTATCTTGTAGGCACAAAGGTCTCTGATCAGAATTAGCAGTTCCAAAGTCTCATACGGCAATAGAGGAGGAGTCCTATCCAAGTGGACAAAATGCTGGACTGTGCTTTCTCATCCATGAGAGGTGAGCCACAGCAGCACTCCAGACCACTACAGAAAGGAATGCTCTCCCAGCCAACCAATTCAATCATTCAAGGCATCGAAAGGAGATGAACATGAAATGAACGTGTCATCCTTTTTCAATCTTTCCAAATACAAAGAATAAAACCTGCCCTTCTCTCTCTCTAGGTTCTGAAAGTAGGAAGAGATGAAATATTTCCCAAGTCACCATGGAGGTGAAACCTATGGTTTGTTACAATGAACTGAATCAGATGGATAACTAGATTGACAGGAGCCTGAAAGAAAATATCAATACCTGAAAATCAGCAATTTTCAGGTATGAAGTGGTTTTTTTAACTTCATGCACACAAAGGGCAGTAAGCTGATCTGAAAATAGTAGTTTCCTCATTTCAAAACATCAGTAAAAACATATATTCTAAATGTACTAATGTAATAACACTTTACATTTTTACCCAACATGGCAGAAATACACAACAAATATTAATAAACTCTTGGCTCGATTCTTCAGCTGCTAAATGCCTGGCATTCTCACTGGCATACAATAAAAGGATAAAGCCTAAAATCCCTTCTGTTCCCTGGAGGCACTTCCTGTTCTTCACCTTCCCCTTTCCCCTCAGTTAAGTGCCTCCGTGCACAGTGGTGGGGGACTGTCCAAACACCCCAGTGGTGCAGCTGGAGAGAGAGGAGAGTGATGTACCTCTCCTCTATCCTGTGCTAAGGCTTGGCCATTGGGACAGCAAAATTGTGCTTGCACAACCTGCAGCCTGCCTCCTTCCAGACAGCGCCTTACCCCAGGGGCCGAGGACACAGCCTGGGAGCGTCAGTCACTCTCACCCCTGTCTGCAGTGCAGTGAGACCTTGTGCCCCAGCCAGCACCACCAGAACAGAGCTGGGACAGTGCCAGCACTCTCTGCAAAACTGCTCCTCAGGAGCGGGGACATGATGCTTTGGCCCTGGATGATGGCACTGGCACTCATAGGATGGAGACATTGCCTGAGCCTGCAGAGCCAGGGGAACTCAATGGGGAGTGGGCTGGGCAGCTGCTCTTGAAAATCAGTCCTCGTCAAACCACAGACACCCCCTCCTCTCCCTGCCCCTCCAGCAAACCCGAGTTTATCTATGTAAACCAGACCAGGTTTGGTGCCTGCCCTGCCCTGAAAAGCCATTTAACTACTGCTGTGGCTGGAGGTCATTGCTAGCAATTATATCACCACCAAAGATGGATTTGGCTGCCTGTCAGTCACAATTCCTGCCCTCTTTTACCAGTGGAGAAGCACAGCCACAGCAACTAAACCTTTTCGTTCCTTCTGCAGGGTCTTGGATCTTTCACATCCAATTCCTGCCTTGTCACTTGTTCCTATCTCCTGGGCAGTGTCATGGACCTGAGGCTGGCAAAAACAAATGGTGTAAGGAAAGCCCAGAAGAGTTGGCTTTTCTTGCTCTGCCACAGCCTGGCTGTGCAGCACTGTGGTAAACAGCAGCACTTAGGGCTTGCTCACTGTTTGTAGGCTCCAAGAGCTTTGCAGAAGCAGCTAGGAATTGCCATCCTGCCTTTTCTCCAGCAGCGAGGCACAGATTTGAGCACCTGTCCACAGCAGTGCTGCAACGCTTGCTGGAAGTGGAAATAAGCCCCATGCTTCATAATTCCACAGGTGGGGTGTGGGGAATGTCCCACTCCTGGGCTGGCTCAGAAGAGCAGCTCTGAGTGTGCCTGTGATGGGCAGCTGGGCACAGCCCACAGCACTGGGGGACAGGCTGTCCCCATCCGGGTCTGCAGCTGGGAACTGAGCTCCAGGTTGGGCGCTCAGTCCGTGAGCATCCCTGCCAGTTTGGCTGGGGGCTCCTTCTGCATTCACCCCTTATTTGGGGGGGCTGGGGCAGCACCCTCCTGCTCCTGCCTGGCAGCCGTGGTCTCCCTGCTCAGCTGCACACTCCCCTCCTGTCATGCAAAAGTGGGAGATGGTAAGATCATAATGAACCCAGAAAAGGTTAGAGAAGGGCTTTCCTGACCTGTCTGCCTGCTCCTCTCCACAGAACTTATTTTCCCAAAATTATAGAACTGGTCAACTGTTAAAATACCAGATGACCTCCTCGTGATCATCCCACAGCCTCCCATAACAACATTGTAAAAATAATCTATCTTTTACTCATGTCCTCTGTAATATCTGTATTTTCTTCCCTCACAGACTGTTGCCAGATTTTTCCCAATGTAAATGATATTAACTTTAAAATTCAAATATTGAAGCGATTTTTTCTAAAAATATTGAAACAATAATTTTCAACTCTTTTTATTGTTTCCTCTTAGTTGTTGTATGAAATAATTTGCCAGATTGGACTTCGATAATAATTATGGTTCTCTCAAAAGCACATTTGAAAAAAAATTAATTCATTCCACACAGAAAAGTCATACGCAGCTCTATCTGGAATTTTCTTGCCCACAATGCACACTATCCCTCTAGCAGTGACAAGCTTAATTAATATTCCTTTCTACCCTCATCCACTCCTCACCTCCCAAATGACCCCTGTCAAAACACATGCTGTAGGTGTAAAGAAAATGCTACAGCCCCATAACACTGCATAGTGCAGGAGAATCTTCCTTTGGGGCAGAATTGACTAAGCTCCTTCTAAAGAAAGATGAAAAATCATTATTTCAGAGTTATTTAGAGTAACATTTGCTTCAAAAGCACACACTTAATGGTGGCTTTCCTAGCTCAAGTACTGGTCTGAGGTACATTTACAGAATGTAAACTCTGTGCACTGTAAACTTGATGCAAAACACAGCTATGGAAGCACAGTTTGGGGGCAAATTAGGACCCATCTCATGTTTCTCAAAGGTATTGCCTTTTCCAGGCTCTGTGCTGGCAACACGAGTTCAATTCCTCAGTGGTACCACTTGGATGCTCCTGTTCAGTGGTCATTCCTCCATCCCTCTGGTTTCTGAGTCTGCCCCCACAGGTGCTGCCCTCCCCATGGACAGAAAACTGGGCAGGGTAGCACACAAATATGATGGAGGGAGAGCCAGAGGCAAGCCATGGTTTCTCACAATACAGTCTAAATTGTTCAGTCTCTGGAACAGCCCGAGGTAGCCAATACCAAAGTAGATACCATTGTGGGCATGAAGGAGGTAATGCGCAATTTACTGCATCAGTAAAGATGGTTTTGTCTGACCTTTTTTAGGTTATCCAAAAGGAGTTAAAAGTAGAAGGATCACATGTATATGTTTAACTAACGTACTTTAAGGCCATTATGCAGACATGCTTTTATTTAAATACATCCTCTCCCACAGTAAACATCTGGTTTTATAATAAGGCCAGGAAGAACAATTACATCATCCAGTCTGACTTCCTTTATAACACAAACCTTTTCCAGTCAAACATTCCTGTGATTAAATAAGATTGCATTAAATTAAAATACATCTAGGAATCTGTCCATTCTTGATTTGAAGTCTTTGAGGCATACAGGATCTACTATCTCCTGGTATTTTGCCCTGATTTGTGCTAAAATATGAATTGCCTTCCTTACACAGAAGGGTTTTGAAAAACATCAGTTTGTTCATCTCATAAACTTGCATGTTCTGCCATAGCAAAAGAGAGAGCAGCTGAGCACTGAGCCAGAGCCCTCACACTGTTTAGTGGCCAGACCAGATCACAGGCAAGATTTGCCTGACAGCAGATGGTGTTGCCCAAGTCACACATCCCAGCAGTCATGCAGGAGGACTATCCCCAGTGGGGCAGCAGGTGACAGGGAATCGGGTTTTCTAAACTCCTCTTCCTCATCCCCATGGTAGTGCCACAACCTCTCCACATGTCAGCAAAGTGGTGCATTTTTCACCTGGGAGGTCAGTCAGTATTTCTGAAGTGCACCAATACACATGGCTCCAAATGCGTGCTAAAAATGTTACTGAGAGGTCCATTCCAGCCCCATATCTTGGACTCTGCTAGTGAAGAAGGGATGCTGTAGCTGGAGGAAGTTCTCCACAAGGGAGAGATTGTATCTAATCTGCTGCCAAAGTCACCTGGAGCTGCCTGGCTACACAGCACACAGCATCAAGCTGGAGAGATTAAACACAGCTGGTCCACTGTGGGCAAGCACCCTGCCACACTGATCTCAGATGGTAAACAGCTCTTTGGCATTGAAGTTCTAAGCAATCTGTCCTTCTGTCATACCTCATTAGTGATGAAACTTCAGCAAGGCCACGGAGGAGTATCTCTGAACATGAAAGATATTGTTGGCTGCAGAATGGTTGTGGGAGGAAAAAACAGCTCTGGATCAAAACTACAAAATAGGAAAGCAGGTGTGCAGAGAGAACACAGCTCCTTTAGCAATGTCTCTGTCATAGGGATGGAGACCACTGAAATTCTGCACCAGCTGGTTCCACCAACCAGGCTATCTGATTACATGATGAGCCACCAGTGTCTGCTTAACACACAGGCCAAAACAACATGCATGTCCTCTCTGTTTAGGAACGCAGACATTTCCTACTCCTTCAAGGTCAGTGTAAACATCTGGACACTGGAAGGCAATGGTGATTTTTATGATGGGAGTCTCTAGGTCCCGGTAGCTGAGGACCAGCCCAAACACTAACTCACATCTGCTGATCCCACCAGCAGCACCACCACCACAGAAGTTTCCTCCAGCACACACACTTCTCATTTCCATTCACTCTTCCCAAAACACCCATTTTCTGTGAGAGAGCCCAATGGTGTCTCTGGTGAATACACACTTGCACTCCTGGCCACAACAGCAACAGGATTTTGTATCAGACTGAACCATGTGATGGTCCCAAAATGCCAGATCAGCAGGGTTCAACCACACCAATGGAAGAGTGTAAATGCTCTTGCAGATCAGCTCTGTCCTCCAAGTGCTTCCTAGGGCCAGGGCATCTTCCAGACTGGGAAGAAGATGCTTTATATTTGCTCAAGGGTCTTGTTCCAACAGGTATCAGACACCTGATGCAAGTGCACAGGCTTCCACTTTGCTCTCTCCAGACTTGATGCTCAAATTTCTTTGTGTTCTCAGTTCATTGAAGGGCTGTCACATGGAAAGCACAAGGTATTGAATGAATTTTACAGGTAGCCAGTGCAGCTGCTCCAGGAGAGATTTGGTCCAATACAATTAGGATAAATACTTTCTACATTTTTTTCCTAACAGGTTAAAATACTCCTGCTACAGCCTGAGAAGAGGCTGCAACAGTAGGTGGGAGAATTCAGTAGCTGACACAGCTACTTTTGATGTGCGAGCTGAACAAAAGGGGAAGAAACTATCTAAATAATGAGAAAAAGTGCACTAGGTCAGTATAGCTCATCCTAACTAAGTATAATTAGCAGGAGAAGGAAGAAAAAATATTGTTTCACAATTTCTTTCAAGTGTTTGGGAACATTTCATTTTGCAGAAGAGTTTCAACCAATATAAACATGCCAAATATAATCTTCAGTATCCTTACCTACTTGTACAAGCAACATGAGTCACATGCTGCTCTCATAAATTTATATTATTAACACACTTAAATCTATGCATAGAAAGTGATATACATTATACCAAAAAAAATGGTTATTCTGGGCTACTTGGCAGCTTAGGGAATAGTAGGTTTTTAACCTTAAAGATGTATTTTGTAGAAAATATTTGATGTACTTATTCTCCTAGTAATGTCTTAAATTATCCAAAGAGATTCAACTACAATATTTTTTTTTTTTTCAATGGTTGGTCTCACTTAAAATTTCTTCATTTCACGTGTAAATCTTTGTTTAAATAAAGTAGAACTATTCCTATTTATTTTTTTTTAATTATTCTTAAAATTCTTCTTTTCATGTTAGGTTCAGCAAATTATTCTTCTCTTTAGAGCTGGGGAAGGTTTTTAGACAAATTATGTCATTGGCCAAAGATGTGGTTGTAGGGAATGTGGGGAAAAATTATTGGGAAATTTAGTTAGATCTCAAGAATTACTTTGACAAAAAACAGTAACACTTCAGAAATGCTGAAAGACTGGATTAGGCAATGCCCAGAAAATGCAGCTTTCAGTTGCAGAACATTTTAGTTCAGAAATTTCAAAAAATTAATCAAAGTGCTTCATTTGATCTTAAGCCAAAATTGTTCCCTTTTGCAACTTACATTAGATTGCTCAGAAAGCTGACAATTTTTACTTTCTATGATCAACTTAAGATGACAGTTTTTCTTTTGTTCACTTTTCTGAGCTAAACAGAAGGTCAGTTGCATATACGTAAGATTTTTCACTCAGAATTTTCTGATCAGAAAGAAATTACATGTCTGGAAGGTATTGCTGGCATTGCAGTGGGACAGTATGCCTGAATATCCTGAATACCAAAGGCATTTATAAGCATCTGAGCTTGTACATATCAGTACTGCTCTTCCTTACACTTAAAACAGATTCCTAATGATCTGCCAAATCAGGGCATTTGATTCAATGGAGAAAGTGTCACCCCAGAAAGTTTTGATGAGTGCTTCTTTTAGTGACAATGTGCTGTTCATGGACTGGGAATTATTGAACTAAACACAACTCTCAGAGCACCCCTCTTAAGCACCCATGCATCTACAGAGTGGTTGCAGTAAAGAGATTTCAAGTCAAGCCTGTGAAGAGAAACACCTGGTGCTGCTCCCAGCTGAAGTACTCACTGATAATTCCTTGGGAAATATCTTACTACATTTTCATTAAAAAACAAAAACAAAACAAAAAAACAACAACAAAACAAAAGACTAAACAGAAAGCACAAGGCCACACAAAATTGACTTCTCCATGTAGGTACAACAACCCTCCCCCTTCCACAATGCATGTAAGCCTGTTGATGGCAAGCAGCAACCATGCACAGCAGTGAAGAGATTTCATCCGGATCACGGGAAAGTACCCAGTCCTAGCAGAGCCCAGGAGGTCTGGCATTAGTGACAGTGAATACCACAGATACCTCTTCCTGTATTTGAGTGTCCGTTCATTTGGATGTGGGTCGTGTCTTTGTGTTCTGGATGGGAATTGTGTGCTGGTATGGCAACACCAGGAGCAAGGTGTTTCTTGACTGCTGGAGCTCCTCAGGCCTGGTAGCCAAAAGCTGATGCTCTCTCTCTGAGCAGCTCTTGGCACAAATGACAACTCCAACTCCCTGCAAATGAAGAAATCCTTCTTATAGGAATGACATAAAATCCAGGCACTCAGAGTTAATGTCAACATTGGCTTGAACAGTAGATGAGATATTCCTAATATTGGAATTGCCTGTACTTTTATGAAGCAGACTCTGCTGCCCTTGCTTTTGTGTCCATAGGCTTTCTACATGAGCTGCAGTGCTGCTGGGGTGTGCATTGCAATGAGTTTTGTATTTTCACACTTCCAATAAACCACTTCCCAGTGGAACAGAAACCTTTAGATAATTATTAGCTGCATTTCAAGATTTTCCCCTCCTGATTTAGCTTCCTTTTTACCAAAGTTGCAAACATTAGCTCCTGAATGCACGATTAATTTGTAATTATTCTTGTCCTGCCCCTCATGTAAACCGCAGTCATTCACATTCACAAGCCTCCTCCAATTCTATTGCTCTCTGAGGACTTTAGTCAGAGAACCTCTAGTGGTAAGAGACTGGTTCCTCTGCTCCACTGCCAAGTGACAAATTCCAACCATAGTATAGTCCCTGCAGAGGTCATAACTACATACTAAATGTAATACAGACCACAAAATCTTCACCCTGCCTAAAGAGAAACATATCATAGAGCAAGGAAGGTAATTCCCTTTAATCCAGTCTCCTGACAACAAGCACTCAGATGTTCCAGAGAGGACCTCCCTGTCTGAGGCTTTCTCTCCAGGACTTTGACTTCTTAAGAAGTCCAAAGTCACATTTCACAGGTACTCAATTCAGCTGACTAAATTGAGGTGGCCAGTGACATGGTGGGACATCCAAAGGTACCCATGACCCACAAAAGAAGGTCTTTCCTCTTCTGGAAGAGGAGGAGACCAGGCAAGATTGAATAGGATACCACAGATCACTCTAGTGTTTCACATCTATTAATTTTGTTTCTTTCCAGTGCTACCTCCCTTTGCTTTGCTACTGTTTCCTTAACCCCGCATAGTTCAAAACATCTTTCTGAATTTTTTCCCTTCTCCACAAAGACTTCATTGTGATTTTTCAATGCAGACTTCAGTCATATGTTACCTTCTGGGGGCTCAAAGACTGGTGGATTCAAGCAATACATGTGATAGCCACGGTCACAGTCATCACAGAAGAGCAGCTGGTCCTGAGGCAGGTTTGTTGGAGAGACAGTAGGGAAACAGGGAGAGAAGGAGAGGAGAAGAGAGAAAATTATGTAAATTAGTCTCTTGCCAAGATGAAAACTTAAGTAGGGTAACCAGCAATGTTCAGCTGGGAATGCAGAGCTGCAACAACAGAGACTAAGAGACTGCTGGGAATGTAAAGGCTACAAGCATCACATTTGTTCATCCATGATTAGCCACCATATTCCTGAGAGGCTGCAGAAAGCCTCTCTCAGCACAAGACAGCTCAGATTCTAAGCAGAAAATCACTATGAGAAGTGGAGGAGTTCCAGTCCTAGATGGCCTCATGATGCAGGAGTAAAAGCTGTTATGCTATGATGAGAGAAGAGGACAGGCTTTGCTGGGCTCCGGTGTCACCATGTTCTGATCTCATTTCTTCAGAGGAAACCTTTGACTTAGTTTTCCAAAACTCAACTGAGTAAATTTTTTGTGAAACAGATGGAAATTACATGACCCCACCATGTGGTCTGCAGCTCTTTCATATATTCGGGGTGAAAAAAGCTGCTCTGAAGTATCCTGTGATTTCTAAGTTCCCCAGGATCAGATTTTTTTATGCTAAAGCAAGAAGAAAATCTCAGGCTTTAAATTTATTCTGCTGTAGGGAATATAGTGTTAGCTAATCACCTCCAAAGTTCTCCAGCCACTGTCAATTTTCCAAGGTTCTCACAGGCCACCAAGGACCCTTAGCATCAGATTTTAACTGCAAACCCTGCAGGGAGGACATTGCTCAGCTGAAGGCTCTGGAAATCACTGGAGTTGGTGATTAGGTGAGGCTTAGCCATCCCACTTCAAATGGTTTCATGTTTCCCAAGTCTTGTAATTAAGTTTAAAAAACCATACCAAGAAAGTAAAGAAAATCGGGGACAGAAGAAGCATACTTGCCTCTCTTGGGTTATCATGTATTCACATCTACTTCTGACTATCATGCTGAAAGCTCCCTGCAACAAGAATTCATGGCCCTCAGCTAATTTCTATTGAATAAGTACACAAACCACAAGTATCAGCATCTTAAATGGCCCTGTATGATACCCATAGTAATTTCAGCAGAGACCAGTGGCTGAATGAGGACACTGGGGAGAAGCCCATCTGCACTCAGGGGTGGCTTTTCCTTGGAGACACATGGAAGCAGCAGTAAAACAATGCCCCACGCTAGTGCCACATGCTTCTCAAGGGTGGGACAGCAGCAGTTGCAGTGATGCTTATTTGCATGAAAAGGTAAATGGACTCACGTCGTTCTCTGAGGTCCCACAGAGGCTGCAGGATTTGCACTCAATGCATTGCCACTGATAGGTTTTAACAGCCTCAGTCATGTTTGTGGTGAACTGCAGGCAGGTCGGGTGTCCTGAGGAAGATCGAAAACAACGGTCATTGTTAAGGCTCACTTACTGCTTGTTAATTAACTGGTTTAAATTTGGGAACAAAGCACACATGGACATGGACTGATCACAACATGAGCTGAAACTAACAGATACCAAAGAGGAAAGCAGGCATTAACCCTTTCGCTGCCGGGCACAAGAGAAAATCAGTCATCTCCACCCCATTGGCAAAGCAGTTTTATTCAGAGCTCTTAAAAATGGTTTGGCTTTGAGTTGGTTTTTGTGGGGATTTGTTTGGTTTTTTTTAAGAAAACAAGAAAAAAGATGAAATCAGAAACAAACCAAATTTCAGAGAGACCATCCGTCTTAATAGAAATTGGACTACAGTTTCAATTAGCGTTGTTTCGACCGGAACGAAGGACCTGGTGGAAATGAGGTTATTCTCCATTTCACAGCTTCCTTTCCTGGTGTCCAAATGGGTGGAGCAATTCTGTAAATTTTGCTTAAATGGAAGCAGTAGCGTACAGAGAAGACACAAGACGGGATGGAAGGATATAGCTTCTAATCTTTTTTAAGAGCTCTGCCACTAAAGTTGGTTGGCACAGAAGAAACCAAATTGCACAGCTAACCTTCCAGGATCAAAACAGGAAACTGAAAGGAAAAAAAATCCCAAGCCAATTCCCACAATGAACTAAATGAAAGGAATAAAGAAGGGAAAGCTAGCAGAACAGTCACATCTAATTGGGAAGGACAAATTGCCAGAGTTACAACCCCCACCCCTACATGCGTGTCGACTTCAGCTTTGCAAAACAGCGGTATCACAGTAGCAGGGTCAGCAATGGGCTTTCTGGAGGGGAAAATACAAACAAACAAACAAACCAAAGGTAGGATCAGTGTTCCTTCTGCAAAACAAAACAAGACAAATACACTGCTGAAATAAAGTACTGTACTCCCAAACCACCCTTACCTGGCTGAGACACTGCCATAGTCTCCTGCAATAAGCTCCTGCCTGCCTTCTTGGAAAGCCCCATATTTAGAATCCTTCTCTGATACACTTAAACATTAACACTATGCATAGTTAGGGCAGGGAGAGTCAATTGCTCATTTGTAGAAAGACTAGGAACACAGGTATGCACATCCAGCACTGCCACCTGCTTCTTCTAGAAACTAGCACCATAAGTTGCATGGGGCTTTTCACCTCTACCCAGTCTGCCATTTTTAGATTCAACCAATGGATTGGAAAAAATATTTTCCACCTCCACCAGCCTAAGCGCCTTTTTAAGAATGGAGAAAGGCTGTTTCTCCAATAAGAAAAAAAAAGGCATGTCTGTGGTAGATGTTGGTACAGATGTGTCATCTTCATTATCAGACCTATCATTAATATTTTGCTGCGTCATCACAGTGCCCATCACCATCCTACCAAAAGTTTCTGTAATTTCCAGCTAGTGAAGCAAACAGTTGCTGAGAATTGCTGGATAAGGAAGTAGTGCTGTAAGGGATGTGTCCATGATACCATCAAATGCTGTAATGAGAATTTTTGTTCTCCAGTTATATTTGCACAGTTGCGATACAACAACTAAGCCTGTCCAGTCCAGAAATGTATGTGTATAATTATTAAAGAAACTGAAAAGAAAATAAAGGAGATATTTAGAGAAGGAGGTATCAGTGAAATTGCTCATATCACTCTTAAGCCTTTGAATAAAGAAACATCTTGACAATACTGTTGAGCTCAGATGGGCTAAGAAGATTACAGGGTTTTGAAGCCCTTAAAAGTCAGCGCAAAACAAGTGACAGTTTTTACTGAGATTTACAGTGGACCAACTGAAGTTCTGAGCCTTGAAACTACAACTAAGCAAAAGGAGTTGTGACAAGATACCTTTTCTTGCTGAGAGGACCCCATATACTTTCTGATACTACCAAACTAGCAGAACCTGACATGACACTGAAATGTTCCTCCAGATCTGATTTACATTTAATGCAAACCTTATTCCAACACCAGTAATTAGAACAAATGTGCCATGCTACACATCAGGGAGGAATTCATCCCAACAGCAGAGAGCTGTTTCCGAAAATGTTGTACAGTACTGGAATATATCACAGAAAACAACTCATATAGGGAGGTGAATTAATCAAAGAGTTAAAAAGCTTCAGTCACATTTGAAAAGAAACAGAAAGAATGGAATCAAACTTACAGAAATAAATCCCAGCTAAATGCATGCATATCTTCACATGCTCACTTGCCTGTGCACACACACTGCTCATTGCAGAGACGCCAGCTGAGGACCCTCCCTTTCTAACACAACATGAGGGTCAGGTCCTGTTCACTAGTTTATCTCTGTCCCTTCATAGCCAGTCCTGCTCTCTTCCAGTTATCAGTCTTGACTGTTTTGTTCCTCATTTGCCTCAAAAACACCTCTGCAGGTCTCCAATGTGGCATCTCCCATCAGTGGTGCTTCATCCTTGAAGTGATACATACTACTTATATTGCAGAGCACTTCTTAAGAACCACGCCTACCACAAGCCTAAAAGAAATGGTCTCTTGTAGGCTGAGGATTCCTTTGAAAAATTAGGAATAGAGTGAGGGCCATAGTGGTTTCTTTCTAGTAGCAAAGCAGAAATATTTTGCAAGAACATATAAATTCATTCATTCAATTAGGCTTTCTCTCCAAGTATTTTGACTACAAAAATTGATTCTGCATAGCTGAAAGTTGCTCTCTGCTAGCCCAGAGCTTATAACATGTGTAAGGCAAAAAAAAAAAGTCTTTCTTCAGCCTCTAAGTCAGATGCTCTGTCACATTAGGAACATTCCTTGTGGTATCCATGACCCCAGCTTACTGTCATTGGAAGGACTATTTTTATTTATGCTATCAGCATGGTGAGGCACTACAGTATATGGCAAGCATGCCACCTGGTACTCAAAATATAAAAATTCTTTTTCCTTTCCTCCCTGGTTTCTCCTTCTTCATGACCTCTTTCTTTTCCTGCTACTTTTGTTCAAAACCTAGTGTTTTACATGCTATGAGAAAATTCACACATCCAAGACTTTGAGGTAGTGTTAGTGAAAACCATTCGTGCTCCTTATCACAGAACTTCTTAGCATTCCTTCTGTGTCAGAATACCTGAACACAAAGTCCTGTAGCTGCATGTGGCAAGCTACTACAGGTAGATTCAAATTTCCTTTCTTTTTTCCTTAAAAATAAAAAGTCTAGTTCAGGCCACAGTTTTCTTTTACTCACAAAACATTCCAAAATGTGATTCCAGTTACGGACACTGTGGTCGCACACAAGCCAGAGAGCCAAAAGTCTTCCTGCTATGTGTTTAAGATGGAGAAACAGTCTTATTTCACCTAATTGTGTGATGAACAGCATTTGCTGTGGCTTAGGTGTGCAGCAGAGTCTGCAGCTGGAACTCAGTTAATAATTCAGGTGGTGGCTCCACCCTGGGAAACCTGGATCACTCTCACAAGTCTGTATCAGCTCTGCAGATCTAATAGGGGAAGGAAGTAACACATATTTATGGTGTCACCAAAGTCAATAGACAGACCTCTAAAACACACCCTGGGAGCAGTTCTGTTGAAGGAGAAGGCAATATGTTAACATTGACAGTTTCTAATCTACCATAACTATTCTCTACCTAAACTTTTGCTATGCTGCAATAGCTATAAACAACAGACAGAGACAATAAAACTTGCAGTGAGATTTTCAACAGCTCATCCCTTTGTCTTAAAACACTATTTTAAAGTGTAGATCAGGTTTGAAAGCTCCCTCATCTTTGTCAAAACTCTCCTCTGGATCTGAACTTTGAGACTGAGTCCATATTTTATAGCGACATCAGTGTTTCACATGCCACTGGCTTTAATTGTACATTATGTCCACAAGACATCTGGTCAGAGGAGTGGGGAGGTGAGCACATTCAGAGACCATTTCTTGTATCCTGCACCTGGTACAATTGCAGGTTGATGGGAAGGATAATTTTAACATAAATACCCTAAAAATATCTAAAAATCTCTTCTGCTTACACTGGCTGTATAACACTAAAGACCAAAACTGACATTAAAGGGCAGGAGCAATCTGCTGCTTCCAGTCGCTCTGTGACCAGTGAAGGCCTTAGAATGGCTCATTAGTGCTTTTTCAATAATGGATTCTGCATTGTAAGATTAATTGCAGCCATGTGCTCTGTCACACCCGCCACAGACTATTTAAGTTAACAATCCAATCAATAACCTTTTTCAAACAAAGGCAGAGATTATCTTAAGGAAAAAAAATAAGCAAATATTCTTTTTTTTAAGTTAGATTATACAGAATAAAAGGAATTTTTACCCATTTTCAATTCTTTCCATTATCTTCACAGTGTAGTGGTGGGCTTTTTAATCAATAGCGTGATGAAAACTCACAGGCCTCCTGGCTATATTGCATCAGATTTATTCCATAAACTTTCAGGTCTTTAAACAACTATAAATATATATTACAGATATAATGGCCTATGTCACAGGAGCCCCATCCAAATAATGGAAGTTTACATGCAAAGCAAATGCATGATTTCTTCCTGCTAAAACTGAATAAGGTCTGTTGTGGCCAATGCCATCATTAGACCATTATTACCATTACCTGTACAAAAAAAAGGGAAATTTTTAATTCTAATGAGTGATTTAATTTTATGGTTATGATTTTAAAAGGTACCCTTCATTTTTCTAAGAAGGCTTGCTTACAGATATACAGTGTCAACAGTAGTCAGATTAGAAAAGTCAGACTATCCAAGCACACTGAAGAGCTTGGCTCTGCCAGAATCCCAGGGCTCAAGAAGCTGCAACTTTCAGAAAAAGATTGCTAAGGGATGAGGTTGGGGAGCTCTTGCATTTTCCTGGCCCTTACCACCTTCCCATCTTGCAATGTGAAGGTGTTACAGTGTAGAGACGTGCCTGCCTGCTCAAATGGAGGTTCCCATGAACAGAAGCCTTCAAAACTGTTCATGGGGTGAGGATCCAAAGCACCACCTGCCACACTATCTCTGTGATATGGAGAAGCAG